TAGCTTCCTCCAGCAGAAAATGGGGACAAATACAGAGGCCCACAGACAGACATTATGCTGAGAGTAAAAGGCTTGTAATGCTCATCCTTAAACAGGATGTCTCCATCAAATCCTTCCCCTTAGAGCTCAGGGAACCCCAGGGAATAACAGACAAAATCAATGTTTACAGCCATAGGAAATGAATGCCACCAAGGAAACAAGGACCTCTAAATCAACATGAGCAAAGCTCATATGAACTCACAGAAAATGTAGCAAGCACAGGGCTGACAGGGTTCTGCACTTTTGTATATAATATGGCTTCCATTTTAGTGTTTTCCTGGAATTTCTAAGTGTATGGACTAGTGGGTCTCTGTTTCTTGTACCTTGAATTAGGCTCTTTTCTTTGTGTTTGTATGTTTCTCTAACTACTTGTGGTTTTATTGTGTTAGATTATATTTTATTACTAAAAACAGAAATGACTTCACGATTTTGCTACAGAAAGATAGTGTAAGGTCAAGCAATATACCCCAAATTACATTAAATTCCCTGTAAATTTAAATTAAATTTGTCTTGTAGATTGGTTTATTGTTGTGAATTGATATATAGTAGTTGTCTTTTTCATTCCTGAATATAAAAATCTCAAAGAAAATAATTATCAAAACATGTTGAAGTATTAAAGGACATCAAAACCTCAAAAACGCCTCCCTTATAAAGCTTTGTCTCTTCCTATAAATTTTCACTTCTCTGATTTTAAATGAATAAACACACAATGGAGTATCTGAATACACACGGTATGCCTTTAACATTTTCTGTGCTATTCTGCCTTCTACTATCCTGAAGTCCTCCTAAGTAATTCTATAGCTAACTACATGGGTAAGTAGATGTGAAATCTGGAAAAGGAAACCAAGTGGCATAGGGAGCAACAATAGAGATTTCCTATATCTATAATCCTCAGAACATACCTCCTGGTTCAAGATTGGAGATAGCTGTGACCTTATTCATCCCTTCAGAGTGTCAAATCAATCTCACTTTACACTTTTGCTTTACTTAGAATGGGTTTACTCTCCTTTTCTGCTCGCAGACACTTCAGATCCCCTATAACACAAAAGGGATATAAAATATGTATAAGGCATCATTGTGATGCCCCCTCATGACTATCATTTCTATACATGTATACACCAATCCTATAAAATAAATCTTTGCCATTTCTATTGAGAGTTCTCAGTATTCAAAACATCAAATGACAGATACAGAAATCTAACATGAATTAGAACTATGGCCCTCAATCACACAGATAGTTAGCTAAGAAACTCCTGTTCCTAACTGCCTTCCCCTGCTGGAGCTGCCCTTCATGATTTCTGTGGTAGCTTAACACACCTCATCACCTTGCCAAAAAAAAAAAAAAAAAGAGAGAGAAAAAAAAAAACCTCATAATATTCATGATTGCTCAGGAAACAACTGATAAGTGCTGTGAATAGGTCTTGGATATACACTGAACTCACTGCTAACACCATTTTATTCTCTCCATTTCTCTATCTGAAGTCAAAGAAGTTAATATCTGGTCCCTGCAACCATCTATTGAGGACTGAACCTGATCTGAGCCTGTGTTCAAGGCCTCTTTTTTTTTCATACTGTTATTAGCTTGATGCTATCACAACCAGGAACCACACTTTTTTTGGGGGGGGGCTTGGTTTGGTTTTCAGAACATGGCTCTTTAAGATTTCATCCTACTTTTGACATTAAAGCAAAATCAATTGCTGCATGATGATGTCATCTCAATTCTGAAACTTCTTAGACTCTAGCATAAAACTATTTTGTGGAGGAAAGCCTTTGAGCTCCCTACAAATGGCAGAAGTGTTACAGTAGTGGCTTTTAGGAGTTTTCAGTTGGCCACAACAGATATGCTCAGTGTCTCTTTGCTGGCCATCTGTCATGGCAATCATCTCCTCTGGTGGATGCTCCAGTGGCTTCTTCATGAACTACCATGATATCACTAACTCAGTGAATTCTACATTGTCAGCCAAGAAAATCCATCACTGTACTTCCATGTGGTACCTAAAATGTTTTCAGATGACAATGAAGTTCCTTGTCATGAATCCAGGACAGAGATGTCACAAGAAGAGCTTCTAATATTACAAGATGGCATGTATGGCAGCATTCTCAAAGTGCACTGGCATGTACTGGGATACTGGAGGAGAATGAACTAGGGTTGAGAAATACTAATATTTGATATATTTATTTCATTATGTCTATGCACTACATCTCCTTGGAATATCTTTTCCTTGAGTTTGCAATATTTTATGGCAAAATTCTACTTTTGCATTAGAAGAGATAGATTGTGGTGACTCAAATGCTGTGTCATCCAAAATCAAAGATAGTGAAGGCGATGTTAGCAAAATCAGCATTATTGCAGTTCCTGACTGAGTGTCATGTGCATCATTCAAAATGATTTTCCAAAGGCCACTTCTCCTAGGAGTGTTCCCAAGTGTATTGCCTCTCCATGATCATCTGATTAAAACTGAATACCACATTATGCTTCTAGAACACAATATGACTCTTTCCACTTTGCTTTTGTTCAGTGGTCATGTACTTAGTCATAGCCATGTCACCCAGGTACTTTTGGAAGATCTCTACAATCATGGAATACTGGGTATCACTGATCCAGCTCCTAGGTTATAAATGCTGTTCCAAGAAGTCATAGCAGCTCCCACGAATGCACCTACTGCCTTCATTGGCCCTGATGTCTTCTTAAGCATATCTCTTGGGTAGCCCAGCAGTTCCCCCATCTTACCCTTTAGGGAAAACCTTTCCATTCATTGTAGAAATATCCTAATTTTCACTTGTTAGCTTGGTCAGCTTGTTCTCCCTATAAGACTTGTTGTATTACCTCATGTCTTATATGACTGAAAATGGAAATCATTACCTTTTTTTTTTCAGAATCAGAGGAGCAAGAAAGAGGTGTGTTTATTGGGTTACACACACATTTTCCTGACACTATTTTCATATGACTTTTAAATTATACATTTATCCTAGACTTCATATCTGTGAGCTTAATAAATGTCTTCCCTTTATAATTATACCCTGAAATTTTTATAGCAATGAAAAATGGATAAAGACACCCTTTAAATTATAATTGATTACTTGACTATCATCATCACTCAAGAAGATCTAAATTTGTGATCCTACTATCCAGACTCTCAAAAAACTAAAAATAGAGGCCCTGACATTCAGGCCCCCCTCCTAAATTTTTTTAAGGATATTGAGTTCTTTCCAATCATGGATAGTAGACATGCCAATGCCTCTCCTAGGAAACTGCCCTTTTTCCTCCTAACCTGACTTCTGATTCACACTGCAGGTCCCAGGTAAGAGAACATTTTCTGACAGTACTTCTCCCACCTTCAGAGAAACCTACCTCACCATATAAATCAGTATATGACAACTGAGATTTAAGAATTACAAGCTTTTACAATCTTAATCACAGGTTAATATTGGTGGAAAATAGTGAGATTTCATATGAACATTCTTGAACAGTATTAGTCCATAAGTGTTCACAAAAGATATTCACATAATCCACCAACACCACACAATACAATTAAATGAAGGAGTTAATGAGATGTTTTCTCAATAACACTTCTTCCTCTTGGGATTAAAACCCAAAGGAAGATCATGATTATTTAAAATCTCTTGTATTGTGAATTATTGCGGTTCCTGGAACCAAACAGGAATTTTCTGCCAGGGAGCTGAAGCACATTTCAATGTGTGGCATTCTACTAGAAAGTGATTAAAACAGGAGGAATTCTCAATTCCAATGTACAGACTAAAGGATGGTGAGGCTCCCACCTGCAGTAGATATAAAGGTAAACAGCACTCAATAACATCATCCATCACATTAGGCTTTCTAGTCTTTGAGTGCTCACTCTGTCAGTCACTAGGGACACAGTGTGGGCACAAAAGGGCAGAGTTTTAAGGAATAGATTTTATGCTTCACCTGTATTTTAAGGATTACATTGTGCTAGAAAACAAAAGAAATATGAAAATCTGTCAGAAAATTTCAAAATTCCTCAAAAGGAATGTTTTCTGTTCCCACACTTCTCTTTAATTCAAATATGGTTCCAGAATTAGACTTTGCAGCTTGAGGTAGAAGCAACAGTAGTTACTTTGTTGCACATGAAATGCCAAGGTCTTTCTTTAGGTAGCTACTTTTTGTTGTCCCTCATGGTCCAATAATCATGATGAGAGAGTTAAAGGAAGCTGACACATGAGGATACAGTTATTTATTTTTTTTGACACAGATGAAACTGTGTGATCAGATGCAATCTTTGTTAAAAGCAGGAAATCTTTAGATCTTTAAAAATATATGTGACTTTATTATTTTCAGTGCAATCTTTGTATATCCTGTTCCTTCCATACAATTGGTCAATAAAGTATGATTATGAACTTCAAAACTTTAGTTTAATTTTTGTAACATATGTGACAAATGTCTTTTTAACATATAATACAATATAATTAGTGTGCTTTGGAAATAGGTCTCTCTCTTTGTCCCTCTCTCCCTCCCTCTTCTCTCTGTTCATATATATACATGCAAGATATATATTCTGTGTGTAATAGGGAATGAAGAGATAATTAGAGTAGGCAATGCTCTGCCATCACACAAGAAAATCCTACGCAGCCTTCAGTCACTGCGCTATTCTCAATGTTTCGTCAGATAAGACATGGTATAATCCAATGTATAATCACACATCCTCATTATTTGCCAAATGAGAGAGCAAGCATTCATGCTGCAGAATAAAAAATTAATAAATAAAAATAGTATAATTCATTGAGCTTACAACTCAGGATGCTCACATTTCAAATTTAAAATTGTGAAGTTTGGGGTTGTTGTCATTTTGTCATAAATACCTGTAGGTTCTGATTCTCATCACCTCATTCCTAGAACCTGGTTGCTAATGTGATTGGAAAGAGATAATTTAACATTACCAAGAATTTCTTTCCACAGACTCACAGGAGCTGATTCTTCCATAAGCATGACGAACAACACCATGGTGACAGAATTCATCTTGCTGGGCATCCCTGAGACAACAGGCCTGGAGAAGGTCCTGCTTTTCCTGTTCTCAGCACTGTATGCCTGTGCCCTCCTGGGAAACTTCCTCATTCTTACTGCAGTCATCTCTTCTCAGAGACTCCACACACCCATGTACTTTTTCTTGGGAAACCTCTCCATCTATGACTTGGGTTTTTGTTCCACAACAGCTCCAAAGATGTTGTCTTATCTTTCAGGACAGGGTCAAGGGATCTCTTTCCAGGGTTGTGTTGTGCAACACTTCTTCTATCATTGTCTGGGTTGTACTTTGTGTTTCCTGTACACAGTGATGGCCTATGACCGCTTTGTTGCCATATGCTTTCCTTTGAGATACACAGTCATCATGAACCACAGAGTGTGCTGTGTCTTGGCCACAGGAACCTGGATGAGTGGCTGTGTGCACTCCATTATCCTAACTACCCTCACTTTCCAGTTGCCCTATTGTGGCCCCAGTGAGGTGGGTTATTACTTCTGTGACATGCCTGCGGTGTTACTGCTGGCTTGTGAGGACCCCTCTTTAGCACAGAGGGTAGGCTTTACAAATGTTGGTCTTTTATCTCTTATTTGCTTTTTCCTAATTCTTGTGTCTTATACTCGAATTGGGATCTCGATCTCAAAAATCCATTCAGCAGAAGGCAGACAGAAAGCATTCTCCACCTGCAGTGCCCACCTTACTGCCATTGTCTGTGTTTATGGACCAGTCATCATCATCTACCTACAGCCCAATCCCAGCCCACTCTTTAGTGCAATAATTCAAGTTTTGAACAATCTTGTAACACCCACACTCAACCCAATGATCTACAGTCTGAGGAATAAGGAAGTGAAAGCAGCCCTCAGGCATGTATTTTTAAAGAGGTGTCTCAGCCTTGAAAATAAATGAAAACATCTAAATTGTTGCTGAATAAAGTCTGATTCATAATTTAAAATGACAGATTTGAATCTGCAGCTTATTTCGTAAGACAAATTGACATCCATATCATCAAAGTCATATTAAATTGAAATATACATTATGTAAATTTACCACTTCCTTCACTGTTTGAAGATACATATTTATTTTATATCTCCCTGTGTTTTATAGTGAACGTCTCTTAGAAAACCCAGTGTTGATTTTCGTGTGTGTGTGTTTCTTTGTATAGCCTTGGACATTCTAGCTCTGTTGACCAGCCTGCTCTCAAAGGTAGAGAATTATCTGCCTCTGTCTTCCAAGGGCTAGGATTAACCAGACCTCCTGTGTTGATTTTTGTGCTGTGTGCATTCTATGCAAGCACTATTCTTCCTCAAGGGTGTGCTAGTCTTCTAACTCTTTAAATGTGATCCATCACAATGTATCTGTTCCTACTTACATGTCTCCTGAACATTTATTGTTAATTTTATCTGTAGAGTATCAACCAGTACAGTGTGTATTTTTATTATTAAATGCTAACAACTTACATATGTTCCCTGATGGGTATATTGCAGTCATGATAAAGTAAGGGTATACTATTTTACAATGCTGGCAACACAGAATAGCATATAGCCTCAATTAAATTACAGTAGTGATTGTATGGTTGAGAGTTCATGATGGTGTCCATTGCCTTATATTGTGAAAGAGCATCTCATTGTCAGAATATCAAATTCTGACTGTGAAGTATAGTTTCTATTGACTGTATATCACTTTTTACATCATCATGAAAGCAAATGTTCTAGGTATAATCATTGTGAGTGGGGGACCATAAATGGTAGAGTTGCCAAATAATGAACTCCAACTTAATCAATCATTCCCCTTGAAGGGCTCACTTCAATTCTTTTATCAACACAGCATTTTAACAAGCTTACTGAGGCTGATGTCCACTTAGTAGATCTGTGAGCTTGACTTATGAGGGGAAGTGGTCATAAGAAGACAAAATCTTTCAGAGAGACAATCCCTTTTCAGAGAGATTAAAAATACATCAAATGATGAAGTTTCTCTTGGACTAGACAACATTTATTTCCCCTACCAAGTCTAAAACAGTAACTGTAAATGCATATAACGACCTCAAAATTTTGGACTCTTTGGGAAAATGAGAGTATGGATAGAGGAATGGATGTCAAATGATAAATAATAATGGTAGAGAAGAATGCTATTTCTTTCCCCCTTGGCATACAATCATTGTTAACAATAAAATACAATTTCTCTTACATTTGCTTGGTACTAGCCAGAGACAAATTCTGGGTAAAATTCTAGAAAAGAATACTGGTTAAGTAAATAACATGATTTTAACTTCTGTGTATATGTCACTAAAAACTTCAGCCTCATCAACATCAACCTTACAAGGACACACAACTCACAAGATTATAAAGTCTTCATACTTTATTCTCAAGATCTTTGAGTCCTGTTTCTACCAATTTTCTGAGTTAGGTGCTATAGCAATAGAAAAATAATTATCTACCTAGAATCCTCAGAGGCTCACCTCAAGGATCGCATCATCCTTCTCTGCCTTTAGCTATGTTTTGGGATGTTTGCATTATATTTCTTTTTATATCTGGAATTCAATACCTGACAGCAGATTTAAGGAGGGTGATTTGTTTGAGCTTGAAGTTACAGAGTCTTCATCACAGGGTTACTTGATTCTCTGTGTGTGGGCCTGCAATGTAAGTAAATCTTGTTTCCAGGAATATGTGGTAGAAGTTATTCACTTTATGATGGGCAAAGAGTAGAAAATGATAGGGCCCTCAAAATATGGCCCAGTGAACTATTTGCTCAAGACAGATGTGTCCCTTAATATTTCCACTAGGAGTAATAATATTAATATATGAGACTACATATTCCATATTAATATCATCTCTCTTTCATTCAATGTTTCCTCCCTATCTAATAATTCAGAAATCACCTACTTTCCAATCAGTTTCCTTTTTGTTTGGTTTTGTTTGTTTTACTTTTTATAATTTTTTTTAATTAGAAACAATCTTATTTTATACATCTGTCCCAGTTCCCTCTCCCTCTCATCCTACCAAGATGTCCAGGAAAACCCCCATCCCATCTCCCATACACTCCCCAGGAAGGGTGAGGCCTTCCATGAGGGATCATCAAAGTCTGTCAAGTCATTTTTTTAGTATTAAAAATACTTTTCTCTCTTTTTTTGATTGTTTAATACTGAGTTCTGAGATCTTTTTCTTTTTTAAAAATAGATTTTCATTTAAATTAAAATTACCCCTCTCTCTGTCCTCTGATGCCTCCCACCAACCCCTCATCCCACCCATATACTCCCCAGGGAGGATGAGGCCTCCCATGGGGGGTCATCAAAGTCTGTCACATCATTTGAGACAGGGCCTAGGCCTTCACCCATGTATCTAGACTGTGTGAATATTCCCTCCATAGGAAATGGGCTCCCCAAACCATTCATGCACTTGGGATAAATACTGGCTCCATACATACGTTTCTTACACAATCCATCCCAACAGCAGTTTCCCTTCCCTTCATTCCTCCCAGCTCCCCCAGCACCCAGTTTCTTCACTGGCCACCATCTGTGTCCAGGTTCTTGGCAATGAGCCCCTGTATACCCAAAGTGGCATAGTTCCAATGTACAGTAGCACAAGGTAAATATTCCAAATCCCAAAGAAAGATATAAGAGAACACAAAGGAAGGATTAGATTGAAGCAAGACCAAAACTATACAAGGAAGCAGAAATTCTGTGACTATATGCCCAGCATCTAGGGATCTCGCCTATTGTGCATTTGATCTTGCCATTTGTGGTCCACATGGCTTTAAAAAAAAAAAGACAGAAAGAAAGAAAAGAAAAGAAGAAAAAAAACCAACATAACTCTTTATTGATTCTTGGTAATTCCATATCACGCACCCCAATACCACTCGCTTTCCACTCCAGCGGCTCTTGTCCACCATAATTAATTAAAAATAAAAAAAAAAAAACAAACAAAAACGTCTATCTCTTTCCTCAATCTTTCCAACCCCTCTTTATTCATCCCAGTGGTGGGTGAAAAACTATCCCTTTTGTCCAATCAGTCCCACCTGCAAAATGTTCATTGCAATGAGTCATTGGTCTGGTTCAAGGCCTCTGGCACACCATCATCACTGGATCCTCACCCAAACTTCTCTCAGATATCCAGCTGTTGCCTTGAGTCATGGAGATGCTGTGATTAATGGTTATCATTCTGCAGGACCAGTCCATTTAGGCACTCCAGCAGGTCACAGATAGGGTAGATATTAGGGTGGGCCAACCCAAGGCCCAGAATGTGGGTTCAGCAGGTCAGTCTGGGCCACTGGTCCCTCAGCTAGGGGAAGATCCTGTTCTCTTAGGCCTATGCCATCTAGGCCAGCTCTCCCACACCAAAGATGAAGGGTGGAGCCATCTCTATGAATTGCTGGGGCCAGCTCTTCCATGGGAACAGAACTAGCTCTCCTTCTGCAGAGCCCATTAAGGGGCAAGGCCAGCCAACCCAAGGCAAGTGAGGATGTGGCAGCTCAGCATGACCCTTGGGATTTCAACACACATGGTTCCTATTTACCCCCTTTGGTAGCATGAACCATTGACATCTTCACAGACCCCCCAGCTGCAACAGAAACACAGATATCACCACAGTACACCTTGGTAAGTATAGACTCAGCTACAGAAAGTCCCTCAGACACCAACATGGTCTCAAGTGGCTATCCAAACTCACGGTATCAGCACTGCCCCCAACACATGGATATTAATTTTAAGCTGGCTTCACTTGTTCCCACATCTTTCCTTGAGAAATGTTCCATATTCTGAACTTATCTACCATCCTAAGATTGCCGTTCTTGCTTATCTCTGATCATCAAAACGTCATAAATCACTCTTGTGATGGACTGCCTGCAAAGAAAGCTACTGAATGCCTGACCTCAATGATTTACTTTTCAATATTAATGGAAGCATAACCCTTGCATTTTGCATGCCTGTAAATTTATTTAGATATGCAAGAAACAGGCAAGTGCCAAACCCTTACATATATTGTGTACATTTCTATTGGACAAAAGATGAATCGCATGTAACTCAGTGATGTCCAATCAGGTGTAAAAAATATCTATGAAAGGACACTTGGGCTTGGGAGAATGCAAAGCCATATGTCCTGTTTACCTAGTTGAAAACATGGTTCTACCTCATTATGAGACTAGATTTATTCATAATTTATATGTCTCAAAGGAATGGAATTAATAGTACATATATACATATTAGATTATGAAATGAATAATTCAAAAATAATTATTGGTTCCCTGTTCTGTAAAATAGGATCTTGGGAATGGAAGTACACAAAAGTAATATGAGTAGCTGACAAACATAAAATGAATTCTACAGTTTGTTTTTTATTTCATTTTGTGTGTGTGTGTGTGTGTGTGTGTGTGTGTGTGTGCTCTTATTTGGTCACAATTTGTTGGGGATTTTGTGGGTGTTATTTTATTTTATTGTGTTTGTTTGTTTGTTTTGAAGGGTATTTTGTTGTTGTTTCCTCAGATTTTTGTTTGTGTTTTGAGAAGGAACTTACACTAGAGTGGAGTGGGAGATCTGGAAGGAATTGGGGGAAAAGAGGAACATGATAAAATATATTTAAATTTAAAAATCGTGTCAAATAACAAAAAGGAAAACAAAAGAAACGTACAACAAAAGGATTGAAGGCCCCTTAAAGAAAACCCAGATACTATGATGTCACTGTTTAAGTTTTTGATTAATTTCAAAACAAAGAAAAATGAGTACTTGGACTCCTTTCTCCTTGAGAGAATGAAGAATCTATCTTTGGTTTCTTTTCTGGATATGGCAGCAATGTGATCCACCTGACCCTCTCAGTATCATATTGATTAAAATTGAACTCTAAACCAAGATTCATTGTTTCTGTGTTACAGAAAGCCATGCATCCTAATGTGCATCCTGACAGTGCTAACAGCACCAT